CGAGAGCAATGTGTGGTGGTCTGTGAATCAAAACGGCTCATTACAGAATTTTCAAACCTCCATGAATTTTATATTGCCTTTTCTATGATGCCAAAGAAATACCCGTCTATCTTCGCTGCGAAGATCTTCAATGATAAAGTCGCATACAAAATGATAGGATTAGGCTGATGGTAAGCTCGTTTGATATAATATCTATTCCTTTAGCTTATTTTGTATGATACAGAATATCGTCTTAGAAGCGTTAAGTATTTCGTTATATTGTGCCTTATATTGTGCATTTCAATACTTTTGTCCATTTCACATAGCCTGATGCTCGATTATAATAAAAAGAAGTCGTTTAATTAAATCGAGGTCTATAAAAAGTACAAATCGATCTAGCTCGACTGGCTGATAAATCGAGCTACGGCAGCCAAATCGACCGTTCGGTATCGATCAACCACCAAATCCACATCCTTTTTTGCCGTTTTGAAATGGTAATTCGATCACAGATAAAACAAAATTTGTTATATAGACAACGTCAAACAAAATGATACTTACGAACCATTTAAAGTTATCGAGATAATCGAGCTTAAAGTTGGCCAATTGATTTTCGCACTTAACCGAATCAGTGACATTTATTGTAAACTTCCATCGAAAAAACTGTAGAACTACCCTTATTCAATTGCTTTTAGGGGGAGGTCGGAGTACAAAAAGAGCAAATAAAAAAGAGCATTGCAGCGGATCTAGGTCGAGGTAAAATACCTGTTTATTTAATGTCAAAATCGGTATGTACCGGTAAATTGAGCTCACATTCAACGATTCGCGATGGAAGGAGGACACGGTGCTCATGGAGGCGACCCCCCCCTCTCCAGAAGAAGACTTTGCGGCTGACCTCCTTGGCAAGGCTCTTACTGAGAAGGCACCTCGCTTGGTGTGGACTGATTCTCGTCTGCGTACTCTCCTCCACCTCCGTTTGATTGCGTACGGTGATCAATTTAACAAACACAAGAGCAGAGCGCAACTGACTGTACTGTGGAGCCGTGTGGTCCGTCGTTTTAGCAAGCAGCATGAAACCAAGGCCGCTGTAGATCAGTTACGTAGCAAATTCAATGCTATGAAGGCGTTGTTCGGCCAGATCCGCGCCGACGAGGCTACTACGGGAAACTTGGAAAAAGCGGTGAAGTATCCGAGCTACTGGTCAGTGCTCGTCGAGTTTTTTGCTGATAAAAAGGGGCTGCGTAACCAAGCATATCTTGAAACCCTTGTATCACCTCCGCTATCTCGTCGTCCGTGGACGGTAATCGAATAGTCTCTGACGAAAACGATGTCACCACATGAACAACTTGGCGAATAAAAAGTAGTGCTTGCGTTTTGCCAGCGCCAACAATCTGTCCAGCCGCGTATGCACTGCCGCCATGAGTGACATAATAAAAGGCCACCGCCACTCGATCTCTTATAAGAAAATGTGCGTTATGGCGAGGGGCTGGGCGTACGCTCGGCCATCTCTGCTCGATACGGGATACAATAGCCAGGAAAGTTGCACGATTGCACCGAAAATTCACTGGAAACGAGCCGTCTGCAAATATGGGGTCATCTAGGACCCGCTGCCATGTTGTGTTCCGTACGGAGAAGCGTCGGGAAGGTTTCCTGGGCCATCGACGCTTGTCACTGGCAAGAGTAGCCACTGCGGCAAATACAAGGGAGAGCGCAGCCAATTTTTTCCTCCCCTTCATGTGTGATCTCTTTTTTTAAAAGACCAACCTGTGGTCTTTTTTTAAAAGAGATAACTGAAAATCAGTCGGCCAATCAGGTCCAAAAAAGCTATTTAATTTTTTGCTCTTTTTGTACTCCGACCTCCCCCTTATTAATAATAAGTGAATACATGGCACTGTACAGAAGGACAAAAGATGGCATAGAAAGAGGTTGTTGGGCTAATCCCCTCGCTGCTTTTCGCTGAAAATGGGCCTTGTCTCGCAGTGGCACAGACTTAAACCTGGGACGTCCTAGGAAAGCGGCTCCATCCTCATCTGGGATCTCAGCAGCGGGGTAAAGTAGGGATATTTTTGAACTGCTTCATAAAGCTCTTTTCAAAAACGTCCAAAATTTTGGTGCAAAATTCAGAAAGCTCTCAAACGCTTAAAGCAACTCGTAGCTCCGTCGCAAGTGCGCGATTGGATGTGAATGATCAAACGTATATCACACACAAGTGTCATTGTACATGTACTGTATGAACTACCAAAGGACTAAATAAGTTTTTAAAACACTTTTCGAAAACGTTAAAATTCGGCTCAAAGTCCAAAACGCTATCAAATTCTTAAGTAAAATACAAAGAATACTAGTGTGCTATACCAGAGTCCACCCCTGTGCCTACACCACTGTAGCTTCGGGTCCGGCCGCGATGGCAATATCATTCAGGAGTCCAGAGGTGATTAGTTTACAATTATCTTTAAGAAAAATTCATGCAGCGCTAGCACCCTTCTTAATACCACTCCAAAGATCGCCCCAGAATCCAGATCCACTAAGTCCTGACCGATGAGTACGTAGAACTTCACCATGAGACACATGTAATGTTGCTCCTTTTCCAGATTCATAGACCGTAACAAGTTTCTTGTAATTCTCAGGATGGAAATAATGCGAGTGGCCTTTGTTCAACTGATAGTGGCTCAAACGGACGGGTTTGCCATGTAGGACTTTAAGAGCCTGCGCATGATTCAAATCGACAGAGTATTCCTTGTACATCTAACTTATATACAGAGCGAGAGACAAAGAGTATGTCGAAGAATAATAAATCTATAACACCCAGACTGGATGAGATCAAAATAATATTACTCGTGATATTAATTTAGGAAGGGATCAGGACAATCTATCAGACACTACGATTAAGTTATACACCAGGCAACTGGTCAAGCTCTACAAAGCGGGAATTTTGCGGAAGAGCGATGGTCCCTGAAGGAGTTCATCGCCAATATTCATTTTCCAAACAAATTCGACGATGCTTCTTTTCAAAAGACTTTCGAGGTTCAGAACTCGAGCATCATAGCGCTTTTGATGAGCATCTATACAAGCAAAGAAAGTCTGATACTAACACTGAGCGCCATTTAACTACTACAATACGATTCGAAAGGAATTGAGTAAGCAAAACAAGGCTGCAAAGCTGGATAACGAACTGACGCCTGAGGAAGAGAAGAAATACATCAGCTATGAAGAGCTTATGTCTGTCCCTGGTAAAGTTGCAAAGGTGCTCAACGAAACGTATGGTAAAATATTTCTCTCTCGATCAGAGTTTGAGCAGCTAGCCAAAGCTAAGAGAACTGATTACTTGAACTCGTGTTTGATTACATCACGTTGTGGTTGAACGTGCACTATCCACTTCGTTTGGTATGGCCAAGTGTCATGCTCACCCCTGAGGAAGGTGCTAAATATCTTCAAGGAAACGTTTTACATCTGAATGATTTCAAGAATGTTCGGCTCATGGGACCGCAAACGATTCAGTTGGATAGTACTACGATGAGCTTGATCAGGTCATATCTTGAGTTCTTAACTAACACGGTTAGAGAGCAGCCTAACAAATTCCTGTGGCGCATTTTCAATAGACAGCCTACTCCACCGCACCATGGCTGCTAACGCGAGCTACAACAAAATCGCAAATCGATTAAATGCATCCAAGCAAAACGCATCAGATGAGCCAGATACATGTACATCCTTTGAATCGGACGCATCGTTTAAGCTTGATCCAGTACATGTATCTGTTGCAAAGCCTGCTGCAAAGCCTCTAAGGCTCGGTTTTATATCTGCCCACAATAGCGGGATGGGATGCCTGCAATTTCGAGAATCCGCAGGACTTCCAACCCGGTGTTATAGACAGGTGGCTCGTGTCGGCGGTGTGTGCTGCTGTTGAGATGAGCGGGATTTGTGTATCCCAAGACCGTGCCACACAACGTCCCAGTGGGACGAGTAGGGGTGTCAACCCTACAGGTCATCCCAATATCCCGCAAACTAGATCGCTGATTGGTCCATCCCTCTTTTGGGACGATATAAGACTGAGCCTAAGCAGGCCTAAAGACCGTCGGGAACACATATTCCATGGAGACTTTACTCGAGAAAATGTCACAAGCACAATATAATATCTGATCAACACAAGACCATGCTGACGAGCACAAGTACAGTGACGAGACGAGATAATAGCAATGCATGATCGTACATTGTACCGGGTAGTAACCAGACCATTGGGAAAGTTCGGGAAACGCTCTCTGAGGCAAAGCATTGTCCCGTATATTGGATACAGAGCGTGTACTGTACCCCGACCGCTGGGCGACAGCAAGCACTGTTGACTGA